CCACCCCAAAAATTTCTTTTGTCCTTCAAAAGCCCAACAAGGGCCTCGCCCATCAACTTCATAAAAATACACAGCCTCAGGTCGACCAATTATCAATTCCTGATCAAAATAAATAAATAAATAAAATGCTAAGATATACATGAAAATGCACCAACGAAGATGAGGCTGGATTGCATACCGAGCGATCACTCATGGCAACACTGTTGGCATTACTTCCAATCTGATCTAGGGTTTGCCCCCTTGAAGTTTTATTCTGCAAGATGAACAAGCTCACAGAAGATGGAGTCACGGCAAACAACTGAAGGGCCTGACCATCTACTCTGAACCCCAGTCCCGTCACCGAGGACTGGCTCTTGTCAGAGAGATTATCAACCTCAAGCTTGAACCTGGTGATACGTTCTCGCGCAATATCCCCTTTAATGCAGTAAATGCAACCATTATCTAAGCCAATAGCTATAAGCAGTATTGGAGGTGCTTCCTCTAGTACTAGAAACGACGTAATCTGCAGTAATAAGCCAAAACTAGACTCAAAACCCTATTGTTTCAATCGAATTCAAGGTTTCACAAATTCCAATAATTGGGCATATGCACTACCTTTGCTTCAGGAAATTGGTTGGTGAATATCCTCAAGATCCCAATGCAATCAGGGCTCGTTGAGCTCGAGCTCGTGCCCTCCGACTGCATTCTATCCAGGTCGAAAACCTTAAGGCACATTGCCGATTGCTGCGGAGTAATTTGTTCATCTTCTCCGATTGTCACCAAATAGTTGCGTTGCTGATTTAATAATAACAGGAGAAAATCAACAAACGTGTCATCTCCTAAACAATTACTGAAAAAATGAAACTAAACCTAACATCCAGAAATCAAAGTTCCAAAGTCCCAAAATTTCCCAAATCCTTCTTTTTCTGTTTTCCAAACTTCCCGGAGAACCAAATACAAAATCACTACATCAAGATAAAATGTTGTAAATGGAGGCTAACCTTGAGCTGCTGAAGGAAGAGTACGGAGGAGTGAGCTTGAAAGCCATAACTGAAGTTGAGGCCGCGATCGAGGAAGCTCACGGTGCCGTCGTCGCAACCGATCACCACCTTCCCTCTGCCGCTCGAGCAACACTCGATCCTTCCGCTCACTTCCTCGGGAATCGAGCACTTTCCCGCCAATTTCTTCTCGAAGAACTCGAATTTCCTCCACTGGTACATTGCGAACTCTCTTGTTTTCCAGTAATTGATAAGCTCACAGATCGGGCGGCTCTGATTTCAATTTTCAAGAGCTGAGATCGAGGGCCAAAGCCAACTACTTGGCGTCAAAACCTCAGAAAGCCATTTCCTTTCTCTCTTTCTGAAAATCGTCTTCCTCCTTCTCTCTGATAATCGGGTCGGGTTCTACGGCGGTTGCAGAAGAATGATTACAGTCAAAATGGTATTCCGGAATAAGCCAGAAAGTTATAAACGATGTCGTTTCTTTGCTGATGTGGCCTACTTTAAGCTGTTGGATTATTTGGATGGTTGAGATTTGAAAAAAAAATGCAGGAAAATGCAGAGGTCCTTCAATAAGCTTCCTTTTTTCGGAAACTTCTGCAACTTAAAACAGTTTTGTTTTTCTCTTCGTTTTTACTAGGGTCGAAGTTTTGTTTTTATCTAGGGTAAAAATGAATTTACAATTTGTGACTTGATCAGTTGATATCTCAGTTATTGGGCTTTCGTGGGATACATATCTTTGAAGGCCCAATCTTCCACTCTCTATTTTCACACATATAGTAAGGCCCAAAAAAAAATCAAGTCTTTAGTTCGTTGGAGAAGGTCGTAAGTTCATATCTCATTAACGATAGTAAACTTCATTTGTGATGTGAGAATTTAAAGATGCAAAAATAGTAAACTTCATTTGTGATGTGAGAATTTAAAGATGCATCTTCACAATCAACGCTCTGAGTTCGAATTTTCCTCCCTCCATCTGATTTTTTTTTCTTCTTCTTATGGTTAAAAAACCCCAAAAAAATAAAAAAAAGTGCATGAAATTTTCCCAAAAAAAGTTGAGAAAATTATTGGAGCCCTGGATGGTATATGGTTGGGTTTTATTGACCCAGCATCACATGCACATGGTGTGGGCCTTGGCCTATTAGTAGACTCATGTGATTGCTTGCATTTGACCAAGAAGCCCGACACTAGGTCAACAATTCGTTAGAGCTATGCATGGGAGAGTTGGTTAAAAGTTATTGATGTGCCTTCTTCTTATCCCCAACTTAAACTCGTTATGTTTCAAATCGCGTAGGAGATGCTTCTTTCCATAAGTGATTCTAGTCTATTCAAAATCACTTCCAAACAAGCCCTAAATATATTACAACAAAATCTATTAGAACATGATAACTCGGGTCAAAGTTCTGTTTTACCAATCACAAACATGTTTCGTTTTCCTATCTTGTCAATAGTTGTCACACCTTACACTACCACAAACCAAACATGCTACAACAAAATCATATCCAGATCAGATGGTAACATCAATTGTAAAAATGGATTTTTATGAGTGTTCAAACCTCGCAGCATCCTGATAAGGTTGCCCTCTAAATCTCCAGGCCTGCCACTCAATTGCTTGACGTTACCAATTGGGCCATGCCATGGCTAACATGCCAAAACCATCAAACTCAAGCCGCCACATACATGGAACACAGTAAAGTTCTAGCTAGGGTTGATCAAGTTGGGTGGGAAGATACAGATAGATGATAGTTGTTTTTGTTTGTGATCTCATGAAAAAGTGGGCCAAATTTTTCCTTTTCCCTGCATAACTTTCAACACCCTTTTTGTCTCTCTGTTTGTATTTGTGAACCACATGTTGCCTGGAAAAAAGAAGAAGCTAGAGATGATTAGTTGAACGCATGTGAAGAAACTATAATTTTTGCGTCTTTTCCTTTCTCTTTTTGCTTTTTAATTTTTGTATAAAATTTCTCCCAAACTTTTCTAGAATACTAGGTTAAATAAATAAATAAATCATAGATTTGTTTTTCTTTTTAGTAGAAGCGCTAATCTATGTTATAAGGGAAGGGGGTTTCTCACATACACACTACCAAGGTACTATCGAAGTTTAAATATGAAACCACTAATCTGCGTGTCAAGGTCATTTTTCACTAGTCTAAACCACTAATCTGCCACTCATAGATTTGTTTTACGGTTCTAATATGTTTGAATTTATAACTTGGGTGATAAAATACGTACCTCGCATTGAACCAAAAAGTATTATAAGTAGGTGGATTATGGTGTTGTTGTGTTGGTATAATTATTTATGTAATTGTAACATTAATGCTATTAAGTATGTTGTAGACATTAAATAATCACGATGCCCATGATCTTAAAATTATTTAATTGGGATTTATTGGATTTGGATTAGAACAAGTGCCGAATAAAGCCAGAGGGACGTCAGCGTCGTTTCATTTAATTATGTTGGCTGATATTGACAAGGGTGTCCATATCACATTCCTCAATCATACTACTAGGTCACAAATGCACTCATCATCTTCCCTTCCATAAATTAAATTCTTATTCTTAATCTTTATTATTATTATTAAGTCAAGCGGCTATAATATTTTAAACTATTTTGATTTACGGAGAAGTGGATTTGACACATTGTTTTGATCAATTGACTTAATTTACAATGTCGATTGTGTTAAGCGTGTTTCTGCTCTCTCCTTTCGCATATCCTCAGTAATTATAACATCATATAGTGGAATGTTCTAAAATATAAATAGTATTTTGAAATAGAATAACAATATTACTAAAAACTCAATTAGGCGACTTAATCAACAGAAAGCTCCCCTTCTCCCCTTCTGCCGGAGAAAAACAACCTCCCAAGCATTTCTCAATTTGTGAATCTAGATTAGATTTACAGTATCACATTTGTTAAATTTGTTCACGTGTATATTTTCCTTTTGAATAGGTCACTACGCAGTGATCAAACAAAATATTTTGTACCTAAATTACCCCTACCCTTTCTTTTATTACCCAACTTATTTTTTTATTTTTCTTAATTTTTATCAATATATTCTAGTATATTACACTTCCTAAGTGGTGCACATGTTTTTCCTTTTATTTTTTAAAAAACCAACGTGAAATAAAAAAATAAAAATTGGGTTTTGTGCTCATTAAAATACGAAGCTAATCATCTACTAATACGAAGTACAATAACGAATTCATTATTATTTGTATTTTTTCTTTTCCCAAAAAGAAAAAGAAAAGAGAAAAATTCAACCACCAATCACGGAGTAGTGAACTGAGCTCTTTAAATCGGGGACCCACAGACCGCCAACTAGGATTGGTGGGTACGGATGATTACGACGTAGGTCCCACGTTAGCTTTAATAACCTAAAGTGCACCACAGTTATTTATCCACAAAAACATCAACCCCTCGAAAATTACAAAAAAAAGGAAAACAGATTGTATCTCGCTGCAACCTGCCACGTGGCGAGCATGCAGTTGGCAGATTATATTTTCGCACCCCAAACCCCAACGTGAAGATTAAATCCAAACCGCTCATCCTGCCCGTGTGGGCCCAGAGATCACTGCATGTCAGCCATCTACTGTATAGACAAGACAACAGGACAGGCTGAACCCACATAGGACACATAGGTATTTCCGAAAAACATGTATTCTTATTATGATTTTTATTATAAAAAATAAATAAATTTGTTAAGAAAACAAAAAAAGAAGATAACTGGAATGGAAGGACCATTTCAAAATAGGTGGAGGAGAAATTGGGAATTTTAGTTGGAGGCTGTTTCGAAAATCCAGGCTCATTTTCCATAATTTCCCGCAAATTTCTGTAACGACAAGTAGACTACACACTGTAATTTTTGAAATGAATATAATAATATTTAATTTATACAATTCAGCAAAAACAGAGAAGCCGGACACATTAGGATAAGAGTGACAACAAGCAGTGAGAGAGTGTAGAGAGACAGAGTGGTGTGCTTTTTAATATTATTAATTATTTTAATTTAAAAATAATAACAATTCAGTTCAATTGAAAAAGAAAAAAAAAAGAATTTGTAATTTTTCATGTGATTTTTGAGGAGAGTAAGAAGAGAGGGTGGTTTGTATATATTTGTAAGTGTGTGTTGATTTGAACTAAAGACAAGGCGCCCTCCCCCTAAAGCTCTATCCTTTCTGTCATTTTGCTTTTTGTTAAGAATGTGTCCTTTCTGGTTCAGAGAATTGGAATATAATAGGAGAAGAAGATAAAAATAGCGAAGAACACAGAAGGAGGGAGGAGAGAGAGGCAGAGGGAGGAGAGAGATAGAGAGGAAGGAAGAGAGTGAGCAATCAATCATGGTTATGGAGGAGTTTTGGGCCTTGGATTGGTTCCTTTGACTTTGTTTCATATTGAGGCTCTTAAAAGATTTGGTGGGTATGTCAGATCTTTTCTCATTAATGGTTCCATGCTGCCATTTCATGTTGTTTTTGTTTCATTTTGATGCTCAATTATGGCCAAAGTTTTGGTCTTTTGACTTCTAGAGGTGTTCCATATCTGTGATATAAGAAATAAAAAAAATAGCTAGCAACTTAAATCCTGTGTTTTTGTGTCTCTCTTGCTTCAACTTCTGAAAACTAGTTCTCTCTCTCTCTCTCTCTCTCTCTCTCTCTCTCTCCTGTTCTTTTTGCTCTTTTCTTCATTTTATTCCTCAATTTCTTGATCCTGGACAAGTGTTTGTTCAGGAAAATGTTGTGGGTAAATGGTTGTGTTTTTCGAAAGATGTTGGTTTTCACTTGAGTTCTGTAATCTTCTCTTGCATTTAAGAAATGAAAAGGCTTTTTTCTTTTTTCTTATGAGGACAAAATTAAAATGTTTTGGTTCCCTTCTGGCTGGCAAGCATATGAAAATATTTTATGTGACTGTTTATTGACAGTATGTTCTTCTTACTGTTTCCTATGGAAGAAGATGCCTTCCAGGTTTCACTTGTCCTTCAAATCGGCAAATAATTCAGAAGCACTGTTTTTTGTTTTTTTGTTTTTCCCCCAAAAGTAAACTCCTTCTCCTCCTTTTGCTTTTTATTTATTTATTTATTTATATTTTTACAATTTAAAATTTTAATTAAAGTAGGTTAATATAGACGCTGCTAATTAGAGAAATAAATGTCTCCTTTTGCTGCTGAATCCCTTTTCCTTATGGCGTTGATGCTTCTGTTTTTGTGGTAATGATTTTGCTGCTTTTGTTTGGTTATATCCATCTGCCACTTTTGTTTGAAAATTTCAACTTTAAATGTTGCCTGCAACTTGTTTCAGTAGGAGGAGCAGATATAGAAGTTGATTATGCATGAACCAACAAGGTTTCCTTTTTGGTGTTCTCCCCCTAATTTTGTTTTCATTTATTTGGTACTCTTTGAAATAGGCTTTTTATATATACCAGAAATAGCATTGCTGCTTGAAGATTATATGAATTTACTCATGGGTTTGTTTATCACTAGATCCGCATAATTTTCTGGTTGTTGAGAAAGAAATTAATATCTCCCACCACATTAATGTTTTCTGGGACATAGTTGGATTACCAACTAACTTTCTATAAGTGTTAATTTGCATTGCTATTCCTACCTTTTATAATAATGTGTACCTTTGAATGTACTTGTCTTCTGCAGGGCTGCAATCTGAGATGGATTTTTCTGAGTCCACAAAAGTAGTGTACAATAGGATCCAGAAAATAGAGCCTGAAAATGTGTCTAAGATAATAGGGTATCTTCTGTTGCAAGACCATGGTGAGCGTGACATGATTCGACTGGCGTTCAGCCCTGATAATTTGATCCAGTCTTTGATTAACAAAGCGAAAACTGAGCTTGGGTTATGCAAACTGGCAGTGTCTGCTCCAATCTCACCTTCTCAGGTGAACCAAGTTCCTGTTTCAGACCCGCCTTTACAATTCACTCCATACACTCCTAATTTAACTCGACCAATTTCATCTCCCACACCTCTCGGAGCAGTGAATCCATTTAGGGACCCCCAACTGCCTGGTGATCAGCAACCACTGCAAAATGTAGAATTTGTTCCACCAGGGTACTCTGATTCAGCTATTGAAGATTATCGCCTCCAAAATCAGATGCAATTTTTGCCCGACTTTTCAAGCAATTACTGCTATCATGAACCTGCATTGAGTGTGAGAACTAGTCGAAGGTCTCCAAGTTTGCCTGAGTTTCCTCTTAAGGTTTGCCATTACTTCAATAAGGGGTTCTGTAAGCATGGGAGCAACTGCAGGTACTTCCATGGCCATCCCATGGCAGAGAGCTTTTCTCACCCAAATTTGAATGAGCTTTCAAATGATGATCACGTCGTCTCTCCTGGCTCCCTTGAAAAGCTGGAGATTGAAATAATTGAGCTTTTGAAATCAAGAAGAGGGTTCCCAATATCAATTGCCTCATTGCCAATGATGTATTATGAGAAATATGGGAGGACTTTACAGGCTGAGGGATACCTTACAGAGAGCCAGAGACATGGTAAGGCTGGCTATAGCCTTACCAAGCTTCTTGCTCGATTGAAGAACAGTATTCGACTCCTTGACAGGTAACTCTTTGTTAATTGCTAAAGGTTTTTATGCATCATATGTTGCTTGCTAGAAGCGCTTGACTTTAGTTGTTATACAGGCCTCATGGACAGCACTCAGTCATATTGGCAGAAGATATCCCAAAATACTTAGAGTATGCTGGTGAGAAAACTGAACCTGGTGGAATTATTGCTGGTTCTCGACAGATTTATCTTACTTTTCCAGCTGAGAGTAATTTCACGGAGCAAGATGTTTCCAACTACTTCAAGTAAGGATGTTTAAGGCATTTCTTTTTTCTTTTCGTAAGGAACTGTTATTGGAGTCGTTTATCTCTTATTTGAATTTGCTTACACTTTGCTTATACTTTGACTCTTGGTCTACACAATTTTTATTTTTTGATCATTATTTTGTAGCAAATATGGGCCGGTTCAAGATGTACGCATCCCATGTCAACAGAAGAGGATGTTTGGGTTTGTCACCTTTGTTTATGCAGAGACGGTCAGGCATATTTTGTCAAAAGGGAATCCCCATTTTGTATGTGGGGCTCGTGTTCTGGTGAAGCCTTACAGGGAAAAGTCTAGGCTTGTTGACAGGTAAAACTTTTCTATTTGTTCAAAGTTGAAGTAACCTTATCATCTTTATTGTGCTTAGATTTGAGCTGTATTTTTCTTTCTCGACCCTTTTCTTTTTAATACTATCTGGTTCATAAGCAAATAGTTATTGTCTGATATTTCCCACTTTTTTTTTTCCTACCATCGAAGCACCCTTATTGTCGGTGGCAGTTCAAATGAGGAAAGGCCTTTAGCCTTATAATATTAACTAAAAGCACATATAACATAATTTTTTTTCTCTAAATGGAGTAATGCTGTCCGCTAGAATTAATTAGTATGATGTTCATACCTTTGTCAACATCCTAGAATACTTATTGTCGGTTGTTGAACGTTGAAACTTGCTTCCATTTGATATTAGTCTGCTTTAGAAGATTGTTTTTCCCTTTGTGTTTTCCCTTAATCTCAGTCTAGAACTGTCATGACTGCATGTTATGACATTATGGTATGAAGAAAACTCATATTTGTAGAGAGTAGGGTGGATATCCCTTTCCTAGTTTCCTGCTTATGAATCTTTTGGAAATGTTTCTGAAAACATCTGAGAAGAACCTTTGATAACAATAAAACAGAAAATTCTCTTATTTATTATCTGAGAAGAACATTATGTTTTCCATTTCATCATCTCTATGATTTTCAACTAGTATTTAAATTTCTGAAGTTTAAGCTATCTATCCAGGAAGTTTTCAGAGAAAATGCAGCATTCTATGAGCTACAATTCACATTTCATTGATTCGGATTCAGAGTTTCACTCAAGTAAGCAAATTTGAGATAAATGCAGTAATTATCTATTTTAGCCTTTTTGGGTTGTAAAATCACCTTTACCTAATTCACATTTATTTATCTGATTTGCACAGTGCCCGGAGTTTGTGAGGATGCAAGATTTTTAAGGAAGCAGTTCATGGTGGAAAATGAGCAAGCACTCGAACTTGAAAGAAGGCATCTTTCGGAGATGCACTTGGCAGCTAAGCCCTTGTCCCATCATTTCTATTATGGCTACCCGATGGATGAGTTCAAACATCCAGAAGGTATACAATGCAACTTTTCGGTTTCTTTTGCCTAGCTTTTTTCTTGTTTCCTTTCAACGATTTCCTAGCTAATGTTTTTCCCTGATGTCACTGTAGCCCATGCAGAGCAAGCAGAATTCCCATCTGCAAAGGAATTTACTTATTTGCTGGATGTTTTGAATAATGGTTCCACCAGTGAGGGCAAAATCGGGCACATAAACGGTAATTACAATGACCAGGATAGGTATACACACAGATGCTTGTTCAGATTGAAGTCATAGTACTTTTACCAATTTTTTTCATCTGGGTTATTTTCTTAACCTCCCCTTTTCTTTGATACCTGGTTTCTTATACCATGCAGCAGCCAAGGAATTAACCTTCCAGAGAGCCCATTTGCGTCTCCAATAGTGAGTGGCATATCAACAGTTATGTAGGGATTCAAACAAACCGTAATTATAGAGAGGTAGAGCACCGGATTCCTAGACTAAGACTAATTCATGGTTTCGATACAACAGGACCTTCATATTCTTCTATTTTCATTTCATTTTACCTCAACTTCATCGGTCTGTCAGCTAAGTAGAGTTCATACCAACTGAAGAAGAGAGAAACAGTAGAAGAGATTCTGTTCTTCCCCATGTTACACTGGGTGGAGGAGATTGCAAAGAAGAAAAGACACAAAAGCTAATATGTGACAGGTTTTTAAGCCTTTTACTTTTACTTTTTTTTATTTTATAAAGAATGTAATCACAGAGGATGCAGCAAGTAAGAGGCCCTAGAGGGCTAGTGGGTTTTTACAAGTGACTGAGATATAGTTTGCTTTAGTTGACGAAGAAAGTAAGTAGCAGTAAAAATATGCAGTGTGCAGAGTAAGGAAGAAAAGGTGTAGAGATCTCTGCAACACTTAGAAGCAAATTCCAATAATTTATACAAGGTTTCTGTTTACCTTAGTACATATTAAAGCCCTTGCACTATATGGATGATGAGCTTTATTTATACATCTCTTTTATTGTCTGTATGATTAGAAAAATTGTTCATTTTGTTCCCATGATTATATTTGAAGATCATTGTACATAAGGTTGGGCCATATTGGTCCACCACCCTTCTATTCATAATTTTGTGTGTGTGAATACAAGCGAATAGTCTAAACTACAAAGGGATGAGGATTTCTCACACATACACTAATAAGGTGTCATGAGGGTTCAAACCTAAGACCACTGGTTTGCAAATGAATGCCATTTTCCACAGGGCTAGACCTCATTGGCTCCTCGTAATTCATTCTACCCACAAATAACGGAATCAAAAGGTGCATAATTATATCATGGTATTTTATGCTTTGGTGGTTCTTGCATCATTTTGTTTTCCTTCAATTTGTGCAACTTTTTAGCAAAAGAAACATCTTATCGATGCAGTTGTTAGAAAGCAAAGGAGCTAATTGGAGGCCAATATGACAATTGAAAGTTTTTTCTTAACGAGAGACTATAATTTATAAATTGCATGTCCTAAAAGCGAGGGGTTGTCATAGGGGGGGCTTTGATGTTGGTGCTTGATGAATGCAATGCAATGACAAGGGTGGACCTGACCTTTTGCTTTCCTTCTGGCTTGAAGACACAACTGGGGCCTGATTCTGATATTGTTTAAGATCTGTAGGACCCTTGTGACCCTTCACTGTTACGATAGGGCACCAAAAGATGTTGATATTTTTCCTAAAGGTGGGTATTATACAGCTCAGCTTCGTAAGCGTTAAGCCAAAGGGCTTTCTCTAAAATCCAAAAATTCCTCAAAATCCCAAGTGAAACATAAACTTTCAAGGTTGTCAAAGATGTGTGGTTGCAGATGTACTTTACGTCAAGTAGCACATTTAGGGTTCGGTCTGTTGGTCAGGACAATGAATCCGCTTCCTTTCACCCAAATTCAAATTCCTCTTTCTACAAATTAGACTATTTTCTGACCTGGAACATTGAATTTTCAAAGGTGGTCTATTATGATTATGATGCAGCTAAACCCAAAATAGGTTTTTTAGCTGGCACTGATTGGTTTGTTTGGTCACATGATTTTGCCTGCATAATGGGAAACAGAGGCATTGAAATTAGGGATCAGAATCAGATTGATAAAATAGAGAATTTTTACCGAGCATGAAAGCAGTCTCGGCATTTCATCTCCACCGTACTGTGGATTCTGCTCTGTTTCTCGTATGTACTTTGTTGTTCTTCCCAAGCTTGTCACTGCGCCAGTGCCCAGTGGACATACGTTTGAACCTTACAAGTTCACCAGTATGTATTTTAATTGGCAAAAACCAAAAAGAAAAATATATTTTAACCTTTTAATCAACAAATTCACTTCTATATATAAAAACTTGCCAAGCTACGGGACAAATCATTCTTTTGCAACGACAGAGATAGCAGATGGAGTTGGTCCAGTTGGAAAACCAAGCAACTAGTCTAGGAACCACACAGCAGAATGAAAAGAACGCTTGCAAGTGGGTGTTTTGTGGCCTTAAAACCTTACATACATGCCAACCCAAGGGCCAATAATCTTCAGCATTCGTTATTCACTTTATCAGAAATGGGCATTGTCAGTGTCAGATAAGGTAAACATGCTACAAGAATAAACATTATATCTGCAAACCTGTAATCTCATTTGTATGGGAAAGAATTCTAAAAGTACATGCAAACAGCGGAAATGCTATAATGAGGAGTTCAGAGTGAGAAGTTTATATGAGGAGTTCAATTCCACCATTAACAAATGTGAGGAAACCAATGGACTTAAACATTTTAAGTGATTTGATGGTGGGATTGAACCCCTCAAATGAGCTCCTCACTCTAAACTCCTCATTGTAGAAGCTCCCATGCAAACAGCACCAAATAACACTGAAGTAGCATAATCTGTAGATTGATATACACCATATATAATTGGCATGGCAAAGGGGAAGACAACTTTGAAATTCAAGGAGACTCCACATTGGGATCTATTTGCCCAGTTGAAAGGGTATATGATCATAAATAGTGAACTCAACAACACAAGTTGTGCAGGGATCCTGAGAAGTTGGAAATCTTAGAAGAGCAAGCTAGCCCAAGCAGCGATAAAAGCAAAGCCACCGAAAGGAGCCAACGTAGAATACTTTCTATCCTCAAGTAATGCCACAGTATAACACCTGCAAAAATGACCAAGTATTTCAATCAGCGTTCACTTCTGATAATATGAATACAGTACGGACACTTCCTTGAATATTGTTTCGACAAAGCAAACAACTGGAAAAAGTCCACTGGAATGACGCATGGACTCTGTACTCAAGGCATTACACTTCATTGTGCAGTTTGCTAAGCCATAAGTCCCAGGAGATCAATTTATGGAGTCCAGAAGCAAAATATTGGCAGACCAGAAATGTAACATGCATTTATATAATGTTACTCTTCCAGTTAACAATTTACAACATTTATCAGTCTAGAATCCTCATTACTCAGTGTAGAGGATTTTACCATACCAACAGACTAGGATGATTCCTAACTCTAGCATAATCATAATCATACAAACGTAGCTCTCTGGAAAGTAAATAAGTAGATCTTACTACATTGGTAGTGATACTTTTCTAGAAAAAGACCAATGAATTAAACCATAGGCAAGTCTTGTGACTTCCTTTGCATCCTAACAAGTAACAAGGTGAGTGATTTTAACCAATATGGAAAACCTCTAAAATTGAGATTCAAGGAACTTCATTGTGCAAGAAACTGAAAATTTGAATGAATCTATTACGCAAAAACGTAGTGTTTTATAATCAAATTGAAGCTGTTTAATTAGATGAAAAATGAAGCGCAGAAGAATGGAATGGCACTTACGTCCCTGAGAATGCGAGTATTCCAGTAGTCAAAAGGCCTCCAAACTGGAAAACAATGACAAAATTATCATATATGCTCATATATGAATTTGCAGACCAGTACCTAATTAACCAACATCACTACGAACAAGTTGAACAAACATCACATATCCCCTTTCAAAACCAAATAATGTTCAGTTTTGCAACTCCAAAAATGTGAAGGGTCAGACCCTTTAGATTATGGCATGAATTCAATTCGTAGTAAAATGATAAAGGTTTGAACTTTGAACTCACAATGTTGGGGTGCTTCGTGATAGGGGCAGCAACCAGAGCGGCTGTGTGAACCAAATGGTAGAGAGACGCCGTTTGCCAAACCTACCCATTATTTGCAACGTAATTAAATGTCAGAAACTCAAGAATGAAGATACAACCATGGACAATATGAGCTAAAATCAAATGGGCAAATAGTAAAATAGATGATGTACGTCTTTGTAAGTTGGGTTTTTGGGTTTGAAGCCATGGGCGCCATATGTGCCCAACCCCAGAGCTGCCATTCCTGTTTTTCAATCAAAATCATATTTGGGGTTTGTCAGAAACAGAAAGACAATAAATATTCAAGTACGAGAGAGGAAAAAGGTAATACCAGAGAGCGCAGCTATTTTATGCCACAGTAGAGGATCCATTTATGTTTCTTTATCTTGCCTGCTTCTCCCTTCAGGCGTTCTCACTTTCAGCTGTTCTAGGGATCGGCAGTGGTTGCGGAAAGGGATTGACTTGTTAGAGTTTATGGACTGAAACGACACCGTTTAGACAAAATATGTCTTCCTTTCTTTTGGCTTGGTCTTTGAGGAGTCGGGACATTAATCTACCTCCATTCATGTGGGCATAGGTTTGAAATTCTCATCCACTCAATGAATATTTATGCAAACCCCCCTCCCCAATCACTTATACCTAAAAAAACAATATTTTCCATATTTGAAACCGTGTTTATGCCCAAACAGAGACAAGCAAAATATAACACAGAATATAAACAGAGACAGTATGCGTACGCATTGATCGATGCAATATGTTGGCAAGAATTCAGGCTAAAGTTAAAAATTTGCACCAATGCATAACTGTTGATTTCCCAATCTGTCCTGAATAGGTGTTACAACTATTTTGGACAAGTCACAAAGTATGAGGTAATCATGTAAACAAGCAGTCACTGGAATTGAAATTTTTGTCACAAGTTTTACTGGGTAAACATAAGCTCCCCCTAGAATCATACGGGGTTTATGTTACGTTGGCCTCTAGCCAGGTGTGACATATTTGTACAGTTAAAACCTACAATTGCCTAAACAATGCTAAAATGAACTCCCAAGCAAATCTTGCTTCCCGTGCCTATCCTTCTCTGCTTTTTAGTATGTTATGCTTAAGCCCTGGCTTCCACAGAAGCATGAAGCAGCTCGTCCGGAGTTGCAGCAGGATCCAGATCCCAACACTTACCTGGCAGGTTACTTTCTTCACCCTTGAGTAACCATGACGGCACCTGGTGCGAAAAGCGTAGCATCTCTCTTCTCGGAATCAATTGAACGGCACTGCTGTCTGTATTACTTTGATATACTGTCTTGAATCCATCCAGTTTGACAAGGGGCGACACGCAAACACCAAGCTCTTCGGAGTAATCATCAAGAACCTCCACCATTACATACTGGTGCCTCACTTCATCTGGAGTTGATCTGTCCCAATCTCTCGACCAGTTGCGATACATAGCCCAAATGTCTCCACGTTTCGGGTATATCCGAACACATCCTCCTCTACCTGCTTTCTCCCGGCTCAAAACATGAGAGAAAATATTAACTTGCTCAATTACATCAAGATTCCGTGCCCTGAAATTTCCACAGGATTTGGTAAACCCACAATCCAGCCAGTTCACTGACCCAAATTCACTGTCAGTTTTAGAGTTCAAGTAAGTGATGAGTATCTTGAATGGTTTGACTGAGACCACTTCACGTATCAGACAGTACAAGCGAGGCATACCATCTTCTTCATCATATAAAGCCCATATTTGCTTTGGCTTGAAACATTCCTCCGACCTATCTTTGTCAAAGTCATGGAAGTCGGGATCAGGAACAGTTATGGAGAGAGGCTCAGCATTCTTTGTCTCTAATTGATGTCCTCGAGTTACTTCGGATTGACGCACTTCAACCTGTCTTTTTGTGTTCTTTATGGCAGCAGCCGCTTCTGAAGCCAAATTTATCTCATTTAATTTCTTCAAAATCTCTGTTCTTGCCTTCTCAATCAACAGCTTTTTAGCATCAAATGCTGGTGCCACTGAACAACGTCTAGCAAGAAGTTCCCCTGAACTAGGAATTTTCTGATCATTTCCTAGAGTCCCATTTCCATTTGCTAATTTTGCTTCTGAAGCAGATTTTGATACTCTTTCCTCATGCCCATTTCTAAAATTTGCTCCCACAGTAACTTTCCTTTTCTTATCCAGTCCATCGTTCTTAAATTCAGGCAGCTCATTACATCTAGGAGGCATATTCGAATTCACATTAGCCACAGCAGTTGTAGTGGAACGTTTTCCATTCGCTCTTGATTTAACCTTCGCTCCAGCTTTATTAACATTTCCATTTGCCTGATAAACAGCATCAGGGGATATACCTGATGATCCGTGAGGACCCACAACACCAGTAGAGGTTCCAGGATATGAGCTCCACTGAAACGACATATTTGGAATATATTCATACCCGTGTCCAGAATGAAAACCTGAGACACCGTTACCCGGGAAAAAGGTACCATTGCTTGGAACATACGTAGCCCCATCAAATCCATGATTCCCATACCCATTACTAGGCACATATGACCAAGGAGGAGGATAAGGAAAAGAACCATTAGCTGGGGCTGCCCCACTTTCTACAGCAATGAAAATGCCTCGGCAATTTTTACATGAAAGTCGTTTGTTCACATACTTCCGGAGATACTCATACTGAACCTTGCAAGAAGTGCAGACAGTCCAGAAAGTGTCAAGTCTACCATGAGATGCCGACGAATTGGAACAATTGTTGAAACCCGGAACCCCACCAGCATGAACTGAAGATAAATTAGGCTGATTAACTGTGGTTGTTGATTGTTTGTTTCTCTGACGATCATAAAAGCTTCTCTTGGTAGTGTCAGACAACAAAGTCCATGCTTCGGAAACAAGTTTGAAAGCCCCATCAGCTCCCACACTTTTGTTCTTATCAGGATGGAGTAACACAGCCATCTTTCTGTATTGCTTCTTCACTGCATCTTTATTTGCAGAAGGTTTCAGTCCAAGAATTGAATAATGATCTATTTCACCATAAAATCTTGCCTCGGAAGCAACATAAACATCAAATGTGGCCAGCATTTGAGATATGCCCTCCAGTCCAGGGTACAGTGATTTAGCCTTTAGTGCATAATGCTTAGCACCAGCATAGTCTCTCTCAGCAAATCGCTTCTCAGCGATCTCTTTTGCTATAAGAGCCTCCTCTATGTTAAATTCCATGTAGGAATAGAGATAACTTTAAAACCAAAGATCTTCAAACAAAATCTATGACCAACCTAATGTGCACAAACTCGGAAATAGCTCAATTCTCATATGAAACCACATTTTCATTTCTGCAAAGACAAAGTAAGAATCATGATAAGTATCAAGCTTCAATTTTTTTCTAATTAGAACTGCGACTGGCTAATACAAATTTAACTAATTAAGACTTATTAATAACAATGAATGCAGAATCATATTTGAAAAAATGAAATGCACAAATCATATATCAAACCAAAAAAAAAATCGAAGTTCAAAATCTCAAACAGGAATTAATGCGAACCGATTTAAAATTAACCGAATTACCGTCAACAGCCAACAATAATTATCAAGATTTGACCTTCTTTACTAACAAAAATTAGGACTCATGCAGCATAAATGCAAAAAATTAAGTTTTAATTTTCATCAGTTTTCCCGGCAGCCAAACAGCTTCAGCTGCCAAAATAAAAATTCTATTTCTTCAAACCACTAACATGCATGAAAATCAGCTCAATTTTCCAAATCAAGCCCAAAATTCCACTAAATTTCTCAGCTTTAAACAAATGCACGGAGATCGAAATCCAAAGCCACCACACTGAACTCCAAGATTAAAAATTGAGTACAAAATTGAAGTCCACAGCACCGATTAGCACACAAAATAAAGTTTTTTCTTTAAAAAAAGGCACTCACTGAAACTTGAGCTGAATGAAGGTGAAGAAGACCCAGATCGCCACGTGTGCTTGGGAGCTCGAGCAAAATCAAGCTGAGCTAATTGCAAATCTCACTGTACCTAAAGCACAAACACTGAGAGAAACTCATATTTTATAGCCCAAAGTGGAGGAGCTACCAAACAGTAAAGTTTCTTCCTTTAGGGCTTGAGCTGCGAAATCGGGTCACCGGGCATGCGGATTCGGGTCGGGATGTAAGATAACGGCGAACGACGGCGAGGATTTGGCGATTCCGTCGATATCGGTGTCGGAAATGGGACAAGATTTATTTTAGGTAATAAAATCGTTGAATTTTTTTTAATTTCAGTGAGAGTAAACAGTGTGTTAATAGTATTTAATGGTGGAGGTTGCTATTTTGCGCTGCCGTGCGTTATGGGCATCGAGTAACTTCTTTTCCGTTTCTATTAGGGGAGTGTTTGGTAGTGGGCACAAGTGGACTTGGAGATTAACCTAATTGTTTAATTTAATTAGTTTTTTTTTTTAATATATATAACAATTTGTTTAATTAGTTTATTAGCTGAGATTTGGTAATGGCTGCATATGCATTTGATTATTTATTCATTTACTCGCTAATAAATGGTTTTACATGATGATTAGAGATAATCATGTATGAAAATTAGTGAAACAAATAATAAATTTTTGAATGAATGAATTAATGAGCCACAAATTGTTTATTATTTTATGAGTAAAGAAAACAAATCTCGGAGTTCGGAATCTTAACTGATATGACCGAGGCTGAAGAAAGCATTCATGGATCTTCATACTCCTTGACTCAAGCTGAAGATCCATCAACTTTTGTTGGTCTTTCCCTCGCACATAGACAAATTTTCAAGATGCCATCATGTAAATCATTTCAAAATATCTTATTTACAAACATTAATGGGAAAATTTTGAAAATGCAAGTAGAAAATTTACCTTTAAAAAAAAAAACCGTCATACTTAGATCTGTTTTCTCTCAGATCAGGTGAAATTTGAGCTCCTCGATAATTGAATGGTGTCTCTGAGAAGATTTACCCGATCCTTTTTAGAGATTTAGAGACCTAGATCTGTTTCCTCTCAGGTCAAGTGAAATTTGAGTCCCTCAAGGGTCGAATGGTATCCTTGAAAAGATTTACCATATCCTTTTTCGAGATCTTCATACCTAGATCTGTTTTCTCTCGGATCAAGGGGGAATTTGGGCCCCTCTATAGTCGAATGGCATCTTTGAGAAGATTTACCCTATCAACTTTCGATATCCTCATACCTAGATCTGTTTCCTCTCGGATCAAGGGGGAATTTGGGTCCCTCAACAATTGAATGACGTCTTTGAAAAGATTTACCATATCAACTTCCGAGGTCCTCATACCTATATATGTTTTCTCTCATTTCAAGTGAATTTGGGTCTCCTAAGAACTGAATGGTCTCACCGACTATGTTGCATCACTAGCCAAACAAAGGTTGTGCGTGGAAATGTGGGGATCGATGAACTTCCATCATATCTAGTCTCCATTTTCCTGCGTGATGGTTTTCGTGGTCTCTAGTTGGCAATGTAAATCAAGTGTTTGGTTTGGGGCTTTTCTCCTTTTAGGTTTGATATATCATTGTTAGATTCGAGGCTAAGGGCTCGTTTGGGAGTGTTTTTGGAAGGGTTAAAAGTGCTTTTTGACAACCGAAAGCACTTCTGACGGTATTTGGCAGAAAAATTTAGAAGTGCTTCTGGGCCATATAAACGCTTTTTGGAGAAATACCTGCCACGTGCTTTTTTAGGAAGCACTTTGAATTTTTTATATATGAAATTTTCAACAAATTTATAATAAAAATACTTTTGTTAGAAGTGCTTCCTAAAGAAGCAGTCCTAAACGCGCATTAAGTCTAGTTCTAGATCGTTTCATTTTATTAATTGTTTATATTTTCTATGGAGCTATTTGGGCTATTCTCTTTTTTACCATTATTGGGCCACTCTCGGCCCATGGCTTGCTTTCTAATTCTTTTGTTTGTTTCTTGGCGTTCTAACAAAAGTATTTTTCAAACCTCAAAACAACAAATTTGATATGTTATTGTTTCATTTATTCATATATGCATTCACTTTCAACCTCATCCGTACAATATCAAGTACAATTAACACTTACCACATCATTGTTTAGTGACCGAAATCTAAGATATATATATATATTTTAAAATAACTCTAATATATTGTATTTTAGTTTTAGCATTCATAACACTCCTAAAATCATGCCTAATGTGGATGGAACAAATCAAGTAGCTCATTAGAACATTAACAAAACAACACATGATTCCTTCTTTATTTTTCACCATCATGTAAATCATTTCAAAACCATTCACCTTTCTTTAGTTTTAAAAAAATAAAAAAATAAATAATGAACTTCTGAAAATGAATCAATATGAAGCAGAAACTGATTGTACTTCCACGGTAGTATTGCAGATCCTGCAACAAAACCTATGTGTAGATCATGGGATAATTGGATGGATAGGACTACACCACAGTTTGTCTGGTGCCCTTTTTCTTTTTCCCAATTGACATATTCTTCTCCTTTTTGGCCCAGAAATCTTGTCTGGCATATCCTAAGTTGAGATCTTTTCAGGACACATATACCCAAAACCTTACAATATTATTGTTTCTTCTATAAAAAAAAATAGAAAAAATAAAAGAGAGAGCTCTTCAATTATTATTTCCATGTTTTTAATGAAGATATAGCTCAATAACCATACTAATTACTAAATACCCATTATATATCTTGTTTGAGTTTTCTTCGTGAATGATTCACAGTCGTTGATTATTCATAGCATTGGCCTATGGACTAGTGGGATATATTATAAATGTGGAATGTCATCTTGGGATTTGAAAATGATGGGAAAGAAAACTGGTAGAAGATGTGGTGACCAAAATCTGAGTCTGGTTGGGAATTGGAGTTGGGGGGAGGGTGTAAATGTAATATGTGACATGATGAGTCAATGATCAGCTATTTTCTGGACCACCCAGTGAGATTAGATTAGGCTGCTTGATGTTGGTTTGGTTCAGTCCCAATCAAACAGTTTGTGGCCCATATCTCACTTTACAACCCTAATTCAACTCAACAGCTACCATTGCCCAATTGCTAACTGGCCCCTACATTATGTTTCCTCACCAGGTTGTCTTTTTTATTAGGACAAACTTGGCAAGGGCATGGAACACTTTTCAAGTTCTCAGTGCCATTGCCCAACTGGGCTTTTTATATTTTATTTATTTATTTATTTATAGTTTTTGTTTATAAAAATCTTCTATTGTATGCCCAACTGGCTTTGCTTATATTGGGGTATAGATATTGGCATCTTTTTAATATTTAATAAATTAGCATATGTTTTCGTATATTTGTGAGTGTTTTTTTTACAAGCGATATTAAAAGAGGAAGATTTAAACAGAGGCCGTCGGTGCACGGGATGATTGGTCTTAACCATTTTCTATATTTTTTTAATTGAAAAAAGATATGGGCTTGTATTGGAATCTCTTTGTATATAGAAACAAAAGGAAAAGAGAATCAACTCAGCTTTGGCCCTACCCACCTTCATTGTCAAGGCCTGCTTAGCCTGAAGCCAAAGATTCTGACTTCCAAATGTATTTTAAAATTAAATTAATAAATAAACAAAATATACCAATTCCTAAGAAGAAAATTACAACAATTTTACTATAATAATTAAGCATAGGAAGTAGGTAACTACCATCTCACACTTTTTCCCACCTCCAAAATAAATCAAGTGACAATTATTTAAATACCCAATAATAATAAAAAAAATATAAAAAAAAAATTCATTTTTTTTTTCTAAATAAAAATTGATATGTATACTAAATCACTAAATTAATACCAGTACTATTAACCCTCATCAGGACCCACTACAGTCAAAACAGCGAAAGAGTCAACGAATCAGACGTTCACGGTGTTGCAGAGGAACATGAGGGACGATGCGGACGAATCCCCGCCACCACCGCCGCCGCCGCCGCCGCCGCCGAGCCTGCCGCTTCGCTCGTAGTAGTCGACGCAGAATAAGGAGAGCGAGAGCTGGACCTCGTCCCGGGTCCAGACTCGCCTGACCAGGTCCGAGTCGCTGAGTCGACTCAGGACGGGGCGGACGCAGACCCTGTAGAGGCGCTTGTAGCCGCCGAGGGCGACGACGACGGGGCGGACGGAGGAGGGGGGAGGGGACGACACGTGGCGGAAGCAGAGGTGTTCCCAGAGGGAGTCGTTGCGGGCGAGGGTGGACCACAGGCGGCAGACGCAGGCGGCGACGCCGAGGGAGGGCCCGTCGAGGCGTTTGAGGATCTCGACGAGGATGTCAATGTGGTCGTTGATGAAGAACTTGGGCCTTTTCTCTCTGTCTTCTGAAGATGGTGTCTTCTGATGATGCATGGTGTTTTTGATGGAGTGACTGAGGTATGACATGCTAACTATAGCTCAAAACACTTGCACTAGAGAGAGAAGGGAAGGGAGAGAGAGAGTAAAGATGGTGGAGAGAGACTCATGGGTGTATATATATTTATATAGACTTGTGCATGAAAATGTGAGATGAGAGTGTTTTGTAGTTATATAGTGGGGGGTTTAGCCGTTAAGGGGTTTTGACTTGTGCATGAGAGAGAGAGAGAGAGAGTGTGTTTTCTTTTGATTTTTTCTTAAGAACCTTAGGATAAGATAGTTGGTATTAGATACCAATTTACAGTATCTGATTATCTGATTATTTAGCTGATAGTTTCAGTATACGAGTAGATATTGTAAATTAGTACTCGCACCAGCTAATTCTTCACTTTCACTTAATTAATTGATCGATGATTTTTATAAGGAAAACGTTATTGGCACTTCTAATTTGTTATTCTGAAACAAAGTGTAAATGTGATTAACATTTGATTTTTATTATACGTAACAAAAAATACGAGAGTTTTACTAATTAAACAAAAAGAAAAGTGAAGTTTTGGTGAGAGTTTAGGTTTGAAGAGGGATGGAATGGAAGGGGTACGTAGTAGTGTGTGTGATGTGAGTGTGTGGTGGGAATCGAGGGAAGAGAGAAGGGGCCAAAGGAAAAGTTCCAAGGTACAAATAACCGGAACCAATGCTGAATGTTTTGCTTTTTCCCCTTTTCTTGCTTGGGAGCTTTTAGATATTGTTTTTTGGGGTTAAGTAGATTTGTTGTTTGTTGTTTTTGTTGTTTTTATATTTGTTATTGTGTGTGTAGCTGTGAATTCTTCAAGACTTTGGTTTTAAGGCCGTTGTGAAATAAGTTAGGCCAATCTACAGAATTGAGCCGTGCCTCGATATTGGTCTGCAAGTCTATGGTTACTATTAAGCTTAGGGGTGGACCTAGTGGGGTCCTGTAGCTGTAGGGTGTGTTTTCATATTTCAATTTTAAAAGGCGGAGGACACTCTTTAGAATTCCGCAACTCATCCGTCACGTGCTCACACGCAATTGATGCTAGCGTATTCTTTTCATGGTTGTCATAAAAACAATCCACTCTCACTATATTGAGCTCTAATAGGTTCATTGCTCAGCTAATAATTTGCTTAATTAATTGTGGATTTCAATTGAAAAGGTAAAAGAAACCATATGCTGCATCAGATTCAGAATATGAGTTTCATCTTTCTACCTCTTCTTCTTCTTCTTCCAAGGAACACCAAAAAGTCACATATCACATAGGAGGCTGTGTTTTCCAGTTTCCTCTGCAAGAAAATAATGTGGCATTGGATACCAACCCCAGCAATAGAAGACTTTTTAGATGATGATGAGGCAGCAACTATCTGTTTGTCTTCACGGGGTTGGAATTTGGCTCAGAAAGGAAACCCCCAAGTCCTTTTAGACAGAAAGCATATAACAAAATAATATCAATAAAATACAGAGAGAGATTTGACATTAGATTTTATAAAGACACAAGGATGGATGGCTGTATCTACCCCACACCCCTGCATACATTTAGAGCCGAGTGTCATGGGGAGTTGTTTTGTATTGTCTTGGACTTGTTTGTTGGACACATTCGAATGAGAGAAGCACTGTTTTCTATTCTTTGCTAGCAGTGCAAAGAATTCGATAATTGCAAAACTACAAGAACATCAAAACTGTGAACAGCACATGAAAATTTTCACAACTTCACTCACTTCCCTGAAGACTGTCATTTGTTGTATTATATGCTGTTGTAAAGTATGTGCCACATAAATAGGTCAACATCTGATTCAAATCAGCACATTGGCACTCAGATCTCTGGCCCAAAAGAGTTTATCATATTTTGGGTTTTCTTGAAAAGTTGCTCTCTCTCTCTCTCTCTCTCTCTCTCTCTCTCTCTCTCTCTCTCTCTCTCTCTCTCTCTCTCTCTCTCTCTCTCTCTCTCTCTCTCTCTCTCTCTCTCTCTCTCTCTCTCTCTCTCTCTCTCTCTCTCTCTCTCTCTCTCTCTCTCTCTCTCTCTCTCTCTCTCTCTCTCTCTCTCTCTCATGTGTTTAGTATTTATTTTTTGCTTTTTAATATGATATTCTTTGGGGGTTAGGAAAGTCAAGAAGAATAAACTAAGCATTCATTGAGAGACTCTTTGAACAATCACATAGGGATAGGGTTGAGAACTTGGAAACAATGTGATCCAAACAAACAAGCAGCAGAGAAAAGGTAAACAGAAAAAGACTTGGAAAACAAACAATGAAATTACAGCCAGAGTTGACATACTAGCCTAACTGCTCTCTTAGCTACAAGTGAACCACTGTGGAATCTATGGCTTCACCTGTTGGGGAAATTTAGCCACAAATGCTTGTAGGTTTTCTTTGTGGCCTTGTTCTTGCCATGGGATATATTAAGGGTGTGTTGGTCATTCAAAAGTTTTCATGGGGTATTTTTGGAAGGAAATTTCCTAATTCATGTTACAAAGTGATTACAAGATACAACCAAAAATCTTCTGGTGGTAAACAAGTAAATCAAGGCAGCAATGCAAGTAAAATTTTGGCTTCAACATTTTAAAATCATGTGTCTTTCTTAATAAGAATCAAGAGAAGAACAGAGAAGGCAGAGAAGGACAGAGAAGAACCTCAAGAGAGTTGGCAAATTACCTACTGGCTGCAAAGTAAGCATTAAGCATCCAAATATTGGGTACTTAATTAAGAACAACAATACAGGAAATCAAAGAAACTAAGCAAACAGGAAACAGAAAATGTAGTTTGTAGCTAGTCGAAAATGTACACTACTTTTTTGTACTCGTACAGAAACATATTACAACTTACAGCACCACAAATTAATACAAGCAAATTACACCACCACCCTTATTGTAATAAAACAGAATGCACCAGACCCCATACAAGAATTCTAAACAACAACAGCAACAGCTGCAAGATAAACATGGATTTAAAATAAGTACTTAGTTTCTGTGTCCTCTCCTTCCCCGGGTGCCTCTTGGCTGCCTCTTCCTGCTAAATTTCTCTGAAAACCATTCATGATTCTTGCTTGTCCAAAAGTTCGCAGCAACCACTCCAACTATTAGACCACTAACAACTCCTGGCAGAACCACATACCAATCTAGTGCAATTTGAAACCCGGAATCTTCATCTTCTTCAAAGATTGATGGTGGTAGCAATATTGAGCTATCACATTTCTTTGACAAGGGCTTTCCACACAGACCTTTGTTTCCCTGGTATGAATCTTCTAGGAATGTACCAAATTGTTGGCCAAGTGGTATAGGACCCCAAAGATGGTTATAGGATACATTGAAATATTCAAGGAAAGTGAGTTGTGCCAAATTATTGGGGATCCTTCCTGAGAGCTGGTTTCGGGAGAGATCCAACGATTCAAGAGCTGTCAAGTTCCATAAAGATGATGGGATGAGACCAGTGAGAGCGTTGTTGGAAAGGTTAAGGAAAAGAAGGCCTCTTAGATTCCCAATGACACCTGCTGGAATCTCTCCTTCAAATCTATTACTTGAGAAATCTATAAATCTAAGAAGATAAGGGGTCCGTATAAATTTCAACTCAACACCTTTTGCGAAAGTCGTGATTGAGTATGGATAAGCAAAGTTAGACGTGTAGTATGATGTCGAAATGACTTGAAAATAAGTTCGCTGGCTCTCGTCAACAAATTTCATGGAATTCCAGTTCTCTAAGTAGTTAGAGGGCAACACACCTGAAAAACCATTGTCAGATAAATCAATGATGCACAAATTTGGGAAGTCATGGTTAGTTGCATACTTCCCAATCATGCCATGAAATCCATTAGACCTCAAACTGAGAAACTGTAGTGCTGGAAGTGCCCCTAACCAAGATGGGAAGATGTCACGCATATGATTGTTTCTAAGGTTAAGAAACTCTAATCGAGTGCAATTGGCCATTGATCTTGGTACTTTTCCCTGTAACTGATTGTAACTCAAATCAACCATTTTCAAACTATTTTCGACTGGACATATTTGAGGAATACTGCCATGAAATGAATTGTTCATCAGCATCAATATTTCAAGAGCACTGGAGTTCCCCAAACATTGTGGAAGCATGCCACTCAGGCTGTTGTTGGACAAATCAAGAATGTGCAAATGATTCAAGTTGCAGAACGAGGGCGAAATTTCTCCACTGTAATTATTGCTGCTGACCAGATAGTTTATGATTGATTGTGGTGGAATTGGCAATGATCCTTGTAACATGTTGGTCCGGAGATCTAAAGAACATAGATTCTGCCATGGAAGATTGATTGGATTTTGGTCAAATCCTGTTAAGAAGTTGGAAGAGAGGTTGAGAGTCAACAAAGTTTCTCTAGTTGCATTCCACACCCATTTTGGTATTCGCCCATGAATGTTGTTGTCGCTAAGTTGTAAGTATAGCAATTTGGATTGATATTTTAAAAATTCTGGAAACTCTGTTAAGTTGCATGAAATCAACTCTAGATATTGAAGCTGTGGAATAGTAGCACTCAAATTGGTTATGATCTGCAGAGATAACTTGTTGTATGATAATCGAAGGTACTTTAACTTTTGGGGCTGGGAAAACTGATCAAACTCAACTTGTCCACTCAAGCTATTATTGGAAAGGTCAAGAAATTCAAGATTTTTGAGCTGGAAGAGTGACCTAGGAATTGCTCCTTGCAAATTGTTACCCCAGAGGTATAGAGTAGTTAACTGGGTCAAATTCATATGCCAAGATGGGATTTGACCAGTTATTTCGTTATCACCCAATTCTAGAAATGAAAGTTGCGTGAGGTTAGCCACAAAACTTGGGAATTTTCCCCTGAATTTGGTGGACTCAAGGGACAAACTGTAGAGGTTGGTTAAACTCGCTATCCAAGACAAGGAATATTCAGAAACTAATTGGCCTGTGGAATTATTATTTGGAACGTCATTAAATCCACTCATGTCAAGGTAGTTGAGCTGGGTAAGGTTTCCGAGTGAAGATGGAACAAGTGGGTAAAAATGACACCAAGAGATGTCCAACAAATTTAAGGAATGGAGTTTTCCGATAGAAGCAGGCAGCATGCCAGAGAAATTTGTGGACGCAACATTCAATTTCTTCAAGAGATTATTGCTCCTGTTAAAGTTGGGGAAATAACCGGTGAGGTTTGAGTTACCTTCCACATCCAGAACCTCTAAGTTTGGTAGGTGGAAGATGCCAATTGGGAATTCCCCATTCAACCCACAACTCGCAAGTTGGAGAGATGTGAGAGAAGATGCATTGACCAAGATATCAGGCACAGAGGAGTACATCTCTACCTGACTAAGATGAAGTTGTTTTATGGCGGTCAAGTTCTGAACCAGGCTTCTCATGTTGGCCTTGGTCAGTTTCAAATCATTGTGCGACATATCAAGGGTAGACAACTTCGATAACTTTGAAATTTCTGATGGAATTTGGCCAGAGAATACTGAATATGAAAGGTTGAGATATGTTAGACTTGAAAGTTCATGACCAAATCTTGATGGTATTTGAGAGAAATTGAAGTGATTATCTGAGAGGTCAAGCCTCTGCAAGTGAACAAGGAGGAAGAGAGTGTTGCTGGAATTGATAGAACCGTAGAGACAGCTGCTACGGAGATCAAGGCCGACAACATGGCCAAAGTCTTCATCACACTCAACACCATCCCATGAACAACAATTACTCCGATTCCCATCTCCTTCTCGGGTCCAAAATGAAACCTTCGGATACGCAAGAGGATCTGCAGAAACAGACTTCTTAAATGCAAAGCTTTCCTTGAACTGCAGCAAGGCTGAGCACTCATCAACCTGGCCAAGTGTCCGAGTATGCACAAATAAAAAACATTGAGTAGCAATGAGTGACAGAAAAATAAAACAACGTAGAGAAATGAACTTGGACCGCCACGATTCCATTCCCATTGCAAATTTGTTTTCTAATTATGTATGCTTAATTATGGCTCTCACACAATTAAGGGTGGAGAAATTATAAACTCCTTTTATAGACGCACAATTCATGAAAAACATACTTGTAACTAGAGAAAGTATAAAAAAAAGTGAAAAAAAAAAGAATCGAAAAAAAGTAAGGGAATCAAAGAGAAGAAGCCAAGAAGGTGAACATCCACAGGTAACCATGCAAAGTCTTTAAAGTTCCAACTTCTACCAGAAAAGTATGTCTTACTAATTTCTTTGGCGCTTTCAACAACTAAATCAACTAGCTGTCCATGAAGCAGTATCTCTTCCATTAATGTAATGAAGTCAAGTTTATAGTCTTCGATCATAACTTATTCTACAAGTAGTTTATTTCGTGTTTATCACTCTGAAGTCATTAAGGCTGAAAAGTCTTTAACCAGATTATAAGTCATTGATCATCATCACCACACACATTCTTGTCCATGAAGCAGTGTCCATATGCATGGAACCTCTTCCATTAATGTAATGGCTTAAAGTCAAGTTTATCGTCTTCGATCATAACTTATTCTACAAGTAGTTTATTTCGTGTTTATCACTCTGAAGTCATTAAGGCTGAAAAGTCTTGAACCAGATTATAAGTTGTTGAAAAATAATGAGTCAAACAATATGGGTAGAATATTTTTCAGATTATATTTCATTCTCCGAAAGGAGGTATTTATAATACAAGGTTACAAACCCTAGTAGGGTTAAACTAGGAAATAAGATAAAGTCCCAATTACATAAGATCTATACAAAAGGGAAATAAATAGAATCCTAATATACTAGGAAATAAATCTCCTAATGACACTAGGATCTCGCTAACACTCCCCCTCAAGTTGGAGCAAAGATGTCACGCATGCCCAACTTTTCAAGCGAGTTAAGGAAGATACTGGAAGAAACAGCTTTAGTAAGGACATCGGCTAACTGATACTCAGAATTGACGAACGGGAAGGAAACAATCTTCGCATCCAACTTCTCTTTAACGAAATTTCGATCAACCTCCACATGCTTTGTATGATCATGTTGTACCGGGTTATGGGCAATTGCAATTGCAACCTTATTGTCATAATATAAATCCATGGGTTTTTGTGGCCCAAAACCAAGATCTCTCAACAATCTCCTTAACCATAATAACTCATATACGCCATGAGTCGTTCCACGATACTCGGCTTCAGCACTAGATTGAGACACCACTTTTTGTTTCTTACTTCTCTAAGTAACAAGATTACCACCGACAAACATGAAATACCCAGACGTAGAACGTCTATTAGTGGCTGAACCAGCCCAATCAACATCTGTATACCTTTCCACATCTATATGACCATATTTGGAAAACAGCAAGCCCTTGTCAGGAGTTACTTTCAGATACCTTAAAATATGAGTCATAGCCCCCATATGATCTTCACTAGGAGAATGCATAAACTGACTCACTATACTTACTGCATATGCAATGTCTGGACGTGTATGAGCTAAATAAATCAACTTCCCCACAAGCCGTTGATAACGCTCTTTATTAGTCGGAACTTGATCAGGATATAACCCCAACTTATGATTCTGCTCATGTTGTGAATTTTAGACAACCTGAAAAATAGAGATTATAAAGATTAGTCTAAACACAAATTATACTCGCAAGTGCACAAGGTCAATCGTAATATAGTATGGCAAATACGAGGTCATTCCCACGAGGATTGAGTTCAACTTCCAATTAGTCTAACCTAATTTCCTTCACAAAATACTTTAACTACTCTAATTATATAAACAAGAAATTAAACACGTAGCATACTCACGTAAACACAAAAGGGGTTTGTGAAAGAATGATTTAATTAGCAACGAAATTAAAAGACAAAATAAGTAAAAAGTCACGAAACACAAGGATGAGAAATTCAAATTGATAAAAGCACTAGGACAATGAATTCACCACTAGTAATCCGATCTAGCCTCTTACTCACCTACCTATTTACTAACCATTTGATGTCGCCGCTTAGTTTTCCTTTTTCATGAATTACCTATGGTATTTAGGCTAACTCGTATATTCCTACATGCAATTCGCCTATGGTATTTAGGTCAAATATCAACACATAGAAACTCATTAAGATCAGTGAAAACCTTGAACAAGCATGTAAACCCTAGGAGTATGGTATTTACCCTAGACGAATTACAAATCCTAATCACATGAAGCAAGCCTCAAATTAAGTATGGTATTTACTCTAATTTGCATCTGATTACTCAATTAAAAGTCTAGATGGTGATCAAGCATCAAGATAATCAACCAAGTTATTAAGCACAATGATTAAGAATCCAACATCAAATGGCAATCAATAGATAGGTAAAATAAGAAAACTAGATTATCATACTAGGGCTACATCATGCCCTAGCAAAGAAAATTAGTTACACATAATCTTAGAATTCGACATAAACGAAGAAACAATAAAACTTAGCCAATTGCGGTACTCTTTCGGCGTCTCCAATTTCTCCTAGTCTTTTCCGTCCTCCCTAAGTAGTTGTTTCTCATGCTTAAATAAGACACCCCGCATCTATTCTTACCCTAGCTGGGCTTTTACAGCAGCCCAACAATAAAGAAAAACCTAATTAAAACATAAATCCAAAATGGGTAAGTACTTGACTCCTCTTCCTACTTGGACTGGGATAACATGTCAATTACTTTGCTTGCACGTTTAGGGTTGTTCCTCCTCCAAGAAAAATCAGGAAAAATATGTAAATTGTAGATTTTTGTCTTATCTTTCCATCCATATATCGCACGCCTTGAGGAAAAATCAGGAAAGTCTTCAAATGGTCATTCTTCCACAGCAGCACAGTTTTGACGGGATTGCATCTTATGCTGACTTAACTTCAAAGACTGCTCTCATTGGCTGCTCCGAAAATTCTAGAAAAATTCCACAATCATCTTCAAGATCTTAGCTTTCATCTCCAATTGGTCTTGTGCTAAAACTCCACCAAAAAGTCGTATTTCCGTTGAAAACAAATTACTTGCTCTACAAAGCTGAAAATTGAGAAAATAAAGTAATAAGTCCTTTTAAAACCAAATTCTCTTACAAAAACTAAGTATAAAGAGTACATAAATATGTAATTTTATGGACTTATCAAATACCCACAACTTAGATTTTGCTAGTCCTCGAGCAAAACAAACCGAAAACTAAAAACAAAAGAACAAAGACTCAACGCAAACAAGCGATCGACTAACTTCCCAATATTGATCTCAGAGATAATCACCAACCGTTAGCTAACTTCCAAGAAATAAGCAACAATAACTCAAGAAATTATCAAAGGGTTAACCAAACTTTAATTGACGCTTTAGAAACAAAGTATGATATGAGTTACTTTGCACATACCCAAATTTCTTCATAGATGTAGCAAATCTTCCAACCACACTCTTGGAGACTGCTTTAACCCATACAAGGACTTCCGCAGCCTACATAAAACACCCTCCTTAGAGGTCACAGGAATACCAGAAGGAAGATCCATGTAAATCTCTTCTTGGAGGTCACCATGTAGGAATGCATTTTTTACATCAAACTGCAATAAAGGCCAATCATGGTTAGCAGCAAGAGATAAAAGCACCCGCACAATATTGAGCTTTGCCACTGGAGCAAATGTCTCCAAATAATCCACTTAATTGGTTTGAGTATACCCCTTTGCTACAAACCTAACCTTGTAACGATCAATGGAACAATCAGCTTTATGCTTCAAAGTAAACACCCATATGCATCCAACCACTTTCTTCCCTTGTGGCAAAGGAACTAAATCCCATGTCTTATTCTTGTTCAAGGCATCCATTTCCACATTTATGGCATCCATCCATTTAGGGTTAGATAAAGCATCCTGCAGCTTGGTTGACACACATACACTGGATAATTGGCACAAATATGATGCATATAACTTAGATAAATGATGAGTTGGCTAATGAGATATTTAGATTTGGCATGTATATCAGGAGAATATTGTACTTTAGGTTTCCCACGAGTAGTGCGTGGGGGTAATAAATAAGTAGACACATCATTAGAAAGTACCTCATTATTATCACGAGTTGATTGGAGCAGTGGCAGGGCAGAGGGGGGTCTTGTATTGATCTCATTTACACAAGAGTCACCAGTACCACTGTCACGTTCTTCTGGGGTAGAGCACAAAATTTCCAAAAAATCATTCGGCGACCGGTCGTTTCCAGGCAGTTTCGTTTGCGACCGGTTGCTTCCTCTGCGCGACCGGTCGTTTCTTGTTCGTGAGAAATTACTTCACATGCATCTTCATGTCCAAGATCTTCCACTCCGAAACTCTTCAATTCACTCCCCCTCTCCCCCTGAATTGAAGAGGTGGGGGAAACATAATAGGGCATTTCTTCGTGGAAAATCACATCCAAAGTAACATGCACATTTTGGATAGATGGATGATAGCACTTATAACCCTTCTGAGTAGAAGAGTAACCAATAAAGACACATCGCAGAGCACAATAATCAAGTTTACTCCGTTGATGAGAGTAGACATGAACATAGACAACACACCCAAAAACTTTTGGGGCAACTTGGAGATTGAGACAAGGGAAACATGGTCACCAAAGACATCATGCGGAGTCATGAAATCAAGAACCCGGCTAGGAGTACGATTAATCAAATAGGCAGCAGAAAGAACAGCATGCCCCCAGAGATGATGGGGAATAGACATGTCCAACATAAGGGAGCGGGCAACTTCAAGTAATTGGCGATTCTTGCATTCAGACACACCATTCTGCTGAGGAGTGAATGAAGTAGTAGTTTGGTGGATGATGCCTTGATCACGGAAGAAATAAGTCAGGGTATTATTCATATATTCACCTCCGTTATCAGTTCGAAACACTTTGACTCGAACATGAAACTGAGTAGACACTATGACACAAAAATCAGGAAGAATAGATGCAACATGATGTTTATTCTTCATCAAATACACCCATGTTAAGCGAGTGCAATAATCAATAAACGTAACAAACCAACGGAAACTATTAGAAGTCACACAAGCAGGTCCCCATACATCCGAATGTACTAAATCAAAAGGCTTTGCAGCTTTACTGTCACTCAAAGGGAACACAGTGCGATGGCTCTTGACCAAAATACATGTCTCACACTTAAAACTGGACTCATCACAAGAGTGGAATAAAGATGGAAACAGACACTTAAGAAAGCCAAATGACGGGTGTCCCAAGCGATGATGCCATAACCAAATTTGTTGTTTGTCTTTGACACTGCAACTTTGAACAGTATTTACGATACGATTACGAACTGGTGCAAAAGGCAATGTCAATTAATATAACCCCCTATCCGTTTACCATGCCTAATTGTCTCGTGAG